GCCTGTGTTTGTGCCCATGTTCTGGGATTCTGTGACTGGTTTCCACATCTTTACACCCTGGCAAGACACTGCCTCACCATTCAAATGAATTCAGTGGACACTGAGCATGCCCTCTCAGTGTATGGAGAAACATTCACCCCCCAGACGGAGAATGTCTTCAGCCACTGTGGCTGGGTGCAGTGTGCTCTCATTTAATACATAGCATGAACTGCTTGTCTTAAGGTTAGCATTGAATTTCAGTAAACTCCTTCTTATAATGTTGCTTAATAAGGTGTATATAGTTGGTATTATTTACAATTCGTGTGTATAGTATCGCTTTGTTGTCATAAGATATTTCACTTTTAGAGCTTAATTAGGTGCCTAGACTGCTTACAAATAATGTGTCTAAATTAATGGCTTCCATGGCTTAATTTGCTTATTAAGCCCATGGAAACCATTGACAAAGCTGTGGTTAAGCCCATGAAAGCCATTAACCACAGTTTAGACTGCTTAATAATGCGTCAGTGACTCCCGCTGGCTTAAATTGGGATTAAGCCTGTGTAAGCCATTAATTAATGTGTTAATACATGCGGGATTCTGCAGGGAGGGGTGGGGCTTCCAGGGCCATTCAGCCAGTCAGCGGTATGGGGGTGTCGTGCTGGGCTCGGACTGCAAAAATGTTGCCGGGTCCCACACTTGGACTGTGAAATTGGAGATAGATTGATTTTAAGCAGCTAAAACTCAGCAGCTAGATCAAGATGTAAGCCTCTTGTTTAACCAGAGTCCAGAGCAAGGGGGAGTTTGCTAGGCAGTTTGCTTTGAAATTCTGTCTCATAATCCTTCATTGTAAGCTTGCTGAGTAGAAAGAAGTTTTCAGGGAAATGGGAACCCTTCAGGATCAAGGAACAGCAAACAGGCCAGCTACAGAAGAGTTTGCTAAGGAAGGTCTGCTTGGAAAGAGGCAGGAAGTGAGAGGCAGCAGATTAGAAGACCCAGGAAGAAAGCTGGAGAGTGGAGAGCCACTACCACTTTCATTTCTGCCTCTGCTTGCACCTGTGTGTTGTCTGTCCAGGCACACCATTGAGGCTTCCACCCAGGCCCTGGTTTGGTGCTGTGCAGACTGCAGCTTGCAGGTTTCTTCCAGTATCAGCTGGGTCAAGGAGTGCCTGCGATGTGAGTGGTGCCTTCTGATGGTGTCTGTCAGGGAGCAGGCAGGAGAGCTATAGGAGGAGGTAGCAAGGCTCTGAAGCATCCTCTACCATGAGGACTTCATCAGTTCCATGCTGGAGGAAACCTCTAGGACTGTGGAAGAAGGACTGCCACAGGTGCTGCTAGAAAAGGAAGAAGGTATGGCGTCTCAGGAAGGTGGAAGATGGAACTTGTGGCCTCTGGCAGCAAGAAGAAATTGTCATCCCCACCTGCAGTGGTTTGTCTAGAGATCACATATGGAGCACTAGCAACAGAGAAGGAAGAGAGTGTTCTGTTGGTGGAAGAAGCCAGGCCAGAAATCCCCAAAGTGGGGAGAATCAAGACCCCTGCCACTGTAGTGCAACAAAAGGCAGTAAGTCTTGAATTTATTTTAAACAGAAGTAAGTTTATTGAGTCTATATATCTCTTTCTAATAAAATCCTAATCTCATCTAATACCGATAGATATATACACACACTCATTCTTACATCACCAGATTACGCTGTCCTCAATCGATGGCCAATCGAATGAGGGTGCAGCTGCTTGATATTAGGAGAGGGATTGCCAGCATGTTTCTCCAAAGTACAATCTGGTTCTGGTTTTCTTGATGTAAAAGGTTACCACTGTGAAGTCCTTTCTACAGATTTTTATCACAATAGTGGCAAATCACCAGTTGTGCAACTCTCCTTCAGTTGCTGGGCAGGTTCCTTTGTTCTCCAGTCACCACACATCTTACAGCAGATACCTAAGCCTTTCAAAAGGTTCTTACGTATGCAGTGTAGAAATGCAGATGTTACCATCCTGTTATTATCTGGCAGAAGTGTTTGCAGAATCTTACGTCCTTGCAGCCTTTCTTCACCAGCTCAAACACATTTTTGTTTTTCACAGTCCAGCTCCATTGTCCTACAGTACCCTTCCATTGCCTTGTAGTACCCTTGGGATTCACATTTCCACTCGCACAACCATTCAAACAACTCTTAATAATGTTATAGAGCTCAGTAAGCACATTTGGAAAGCATTCTACTATTATACTCCTAACCCAAAGTAAATACAAAAAGCAAAACGCATATATCTCTCTCTACACCATGAAGAGGAGGCAATGGGTGGTGGTTGTTGAAAACTGCGGGGGACAGAGGGACCCATGTGCCAGTCTGACCTGTTGTCCTGGGAGGTCTCCTGTTTGCCTGGAGCCTGGACCTGAGATATAGAAGGATTACTGAGACTTGTCTAATCCTCTGACTAGTACCCCATGCTGCTTATCCATGTGGACACCAGTGATATTGCCAGCAGTAACCCTGAGGAGATCGAGCAAGCCTACAGAGCTCTGGGTGCAAGAGTGAAGGGGACAGGAGCATAGGGGGTGTTTTCCTCGATCCTTCCAGTCAAGGGGAAGGGCCTGGACAGGGGCGGATGCATCCTAGAGATGAATGCATGGCTTCACAGGTGGTGTCACCACTGGGGATTCAGCTTCTTTAACCATAGGATGTTGTTCCAAGAAGGATTGGTAGGAAGAGATAGGATCCACCTGATGGAGAGGGAAGAGCATCTTCACAGACAGGCTTGCTAATCTAGTGACAAAGGCTTTAAACTAGGTTCACTGGGGGATAGAGCCCAAAGCCCTGAGGTAAGCGGGGAAGCAGGAGACCTGGAGGAATCACATGGAGGAAGGGGCAACAGGGGAGGCCTCCCCATTCTTGCTGAGAAAGTAAGACAGTTGGCTAGTTACCTCAGGTGTCTGTACACAAACGCATGGAGCCTGGGAAAGAAGCAGGAAGAATTGGGTGTCCTTGCACAGCCAAAACACTGACGTGACTGGAATAACAGAGACTTGGTGAGAGAGTGCTCCAGGCATGTGAGCTGTCATGAATGGGTACAAACTATTCAGGAAGGACAGGCAGAGGAGAAGAGGAGGAGGAATTGCAGTGTCTGTAAAAGAGCTGTATGATCACTCAGAGCTCCAGAAACTGGAGATAGGCTTGTTGAACATCTCTGGGTTAAGGTTAGAGGGGAGAGGAACAAGGGTGATGATGTGGTAGGTATCTGCTGTAGACCACCAAACCAGGAGGATGAGGTTAGACGAGGCTTTCTTCAGACAACTAGTGGAAGTTTCCAGATTACCGGCCTTGGTTCTCATAGTAGACTTCAGTCACCCTGACATCTGCTGAAAGAGCAATACCTCAGTGCACAGGCAATCAAGGAACTTTATGGAGAGCATTGGAGACAACTTCCTGGTGCAAGTGTTGGAGACCAACTAGGGTTGTCCTATTCTTGATCTGCTGCTTACAAACAGAGAATTGGTGGGGGATGTGTAGTAGTGGACAGCTAGTTGGGCAGCAGTGACCATGAGATGATTGAATAAAGGATCCTGACAAAAGGAAAAAAGGAGAAGAGCAGAGTATGAACTCTGGACTTCAGAAAAGCAGACTGACTGCCTCAGGCAACTGAAGGGCAGGATCCCCTGGGAGGCCAGTCTTAGAGGGAAAGGAGTCCAGGAGAGCTGGCTGTATTTTAATGAAACTCTGCAGTACAGTTTGGGGAGGAGGTGAGCAGCCCTCAGTAGTGAAAGAACAGGTTAGGGACGATTTAGAAAAGCTGGATGTGTACAAGTCCCTGGGACCAGATGTGATGCATCCAAGGGTGCTGAGGGAGTTGGCTGATGCGATTGCAGAGCTGCTGGCTGTTATTTTTGAAAACTCATAGCAATAGAAGGTGGTCTTGGACAATAGAAAAGGGCAAATATAGTGCCCATCTTTAAGAAAGGGAAGGAGGAGGATCCTGGGAACTACAGACCCGCTTTTACTCCATTCATATCCTTGGCAGAATTGAATTAATCCATCTGACAGCAATCTTGTGCTTGGTTATCTTGCAACTTAATGTAGGGTTCCAGTATCTGGTCCTAGAAAAAAATCTCAGAATTTCAACAGTCTAAGTCTGTCACTCCTTTTGAAATAAGGAGTTCCCTTTTAAGGCCAAGGTTGCTTAATGTATTTGTATCTGTAGTCTCCCTGACTTCATGAGTGGTCCCTTACACCTCCAAGTGTTGTCTGAGATGTTTCTTGCAGGTTGTGTTAGAGGTCTGATTGTGACACCACTAGGTTATGAAGAAGTTCTTAACCATCTATGGCACAACAGCTTGCATGTGTAATTTAAGTGTAGCCAATTAAACAGATTCCAGTGGTGAAATAGGAATGGAGGTGAATTATTTCTGGCCCTTACCTTGTAACCTCAGTATCATATTTTGTGCATAGAATGTGGTAATATCGAATTTTTCCCCACCAAACAGAGAGGCAGATATCCAGAACCAGGTAACCAGAAGCTGGGCAATGACTGCTTTGTTGAGAGAGTTTGTTACTGAAGTTTTTTTTAAAGGAAAAAAAAATAACTTTCAGATTCCATGCTGGTACTTTCATGCTGCAAGACGAATAGATTAACCATGATATGCAAAAGCAACAATAATTTGATTAAGTAGTGTAATACTTTCACTGTTATAAAATGAATTTGTGGTAAAAACTCCAGTTAGCATAAAGTAACATTTTGTTTCACACTTAATATTTTGGGGCTTTGTTTTTTTTGAGGGTGAGGTTATAGTTTAAAGGCAGTTTAAATTGGTCCCTGTCCTGCAACAGAGGGTTTAGATCTTTCCCAAAGTACACAGACTCTGAAAACAGACTTTTTCAGAGTAATACAGAGAAACCATAGATTTTTTTTTTTTTAGTATAGTTATAGGTATGCAAATGAATGGGTTGCTGCTCATGATGTCACAATTCCACTATCCAACAATGACCATTTATTACTATTTTGAAATGTCTAGCATTTTAAAGGTAACTTTTTCCCCCATCTTGCTTATATGAAACTCCAGGAAGTTATCAAAGAGCAGGGGACAGAGGGAACTTGTCCTGTCTGTATAGACTTCTAATGTTTTACTCTCTTCAGTTTCTCACAGTTACCAGAGTCTGGTCATTTTTTCATTGTTTTATTGGAATTGGAATTGTTTGGCTGGGAGAGGAATGAAGTTGGTTAGGACCGATGCATGGAGAAGAGAGACCAAATCTTCCTTGAGTCTGTGTCTTGGTGTCTTTCTGGTGCTTAGCCTGCCTGGTTCTCAAGCCACTGTCTTTTGGGTTGCCCACCTAAACATTTCATTTCAATTAGGGAATAAGACAGTTTGGGAACTATCAGACAATGGAGTATTTGGAAGAAATTCGCCACTGAAGAAGGTATCTGGAGTAGTGGTGCCACCAGAGGGACCAAACCAAAATGCCTGCAGCCCCTTCACAAGCTTCAATAAGCCTATCAGTGCAGAGACCTGGATAGCACTCATTATGAGGGGCCATTGCACCTTCACAAACAAAATAAAAGTGGCAGCAGGGAAGGGAGCAGTTGGTGTGATCATCTACAACTATCCAGGGACAGGTAATGGAATGTTTCCTATGATTTCTCTGGGTGCAGAAGATATTGTTGCAGTTATGATTGGCAGCTTGAAAGGCCTGGACATCATACGCCTGATTCAGAATGGCGTCAGAGTAATGGTAGAAATAGAAGTAGGGAAACACTATGGCTCCTGGTTCAATCATTATTTGGGATCCCTTGTCATCTGTACAGTGGTCACAGTTGCCTATCTTACCTTTTGCTGTGCTGGACGACTGAGAGCAGCAAGAACTCGGATCCAGAGATGTCAACAATTGAGAGATGTCAAGAAAGCTATTGGTAGTCTTGAGCTTCGCATATTAAAAGAGAGTGATAAGGAAGCTGATTCAGACGGAGAGAGCTGTGTTGTGTGTTTAGAAGCATACAAGTCCAAAGATGTTGTGCGCGTTTTGCAGTGCAGCCATTTTTTCCATGAGAAGTGCATTGATCCCTGGCTCCTACAGCACAGGACATGCCCAGTCTGCAAATGCGATATTCTCCAAACTAAAGTAATGGAGGCGCCTGTTAAAAATGAAGCGGAGCCTTTTTCAGCTGTATTACCAAATGAAGCTCCCAACAACACTTCGCTTAACGAAGAGGATAACCATAATGAATATGTGCTAGTACGAGGTACAGAGAGACCATCTGTAGATGAATAACTTTAAAAGCTGACAGTCAAACCCTTTTCTCAACCATTCATGTCTGCTCCGATGTGAACACCCAGAGTGTAAAATGTTAAAATGAAACTTGTATTCCTTAAATAAAGTCCTAAATTTGGTGGCAGACAAAAATTTGAACTCTTCATTTTTAGAACAAATTGCCAAAGTTAAATTTGAATGTCTTTGAAATACATAACAGATGAATATGAATGAGCTTGGCAAGTAGTAGATGATACTGAATGTGTTTTGTTCAACACTTTTTATATAACTTTAATTAGAATATAGCATCATATAAATTTGTTAGGAAAACTTTGTCTTGAAAAAGTATTAAGTTAGTCAATAATTTACTGGTTATGAAACTTTCAGATTTTGAGTTTAGTATAACGCAACTATATTCCTTCTTGTGCAGCTGTGTTTACAAAGTAGTACAGATTTGCATTTTAAAATATGGGTATTGCCATATTTTGGTCAAATTACATCTGTCTGTCCATGCAAATACATTATCGTCTTCAGATCTGTTTTTTGCAAGTGATTTTTTTGGTTTAAGGTACATTTCCTATACTTAATCTTCTTACCTGTTTGAGGCAGGGGATTTGGGTAAAACCAGCAAATGAGAGTAACATCTGGAGAATATTCTAGCCTCTGCGTTGACCCAGCCAGCATTTAAAGTACACCATTTTTTCTTTCACTGCTTATTCTTCAAGGACTCCATCCTAGAGGGGAGAAGTAACAGAGTGCAGAGGAAGAACATTCTTGGGACAGTCCCTGTACAATCACAGAACTATGACATGACTGGAATAACAGAGACTTGGTGGGATAGCTCATGTGACTGGAGTACTGTTCGGATGGGTACAAACTGTTCTGGAAGGACAGGCAGGGGAGAAGAGGAGGAGGAGTTACACTGTCTGTAAAAGAGCTGTATGAACACTCAGAGCTCCAGAAACTAGAGATAGGCCTGTTGAAAGTCTCTGGGTTGAGGTTAGAGGGGAGAGCAACAAGGGTGATGATGTGGGAGGTATCTGCTATAGATCACAAGACCGGGAGGATGAGGTAGATAAGGCTTTCTTCAGATAAGTAGCAGAAGTTTCCAGATGACCAGCCCTGGTTCTCATGGAGGGCTCCAGTCACACGGTCATCTGCTGGGAGAGCCTTACAGCAGTGCATAGGCAATTTTAGGAAATTTTTGGAGAGTGTTGCAGACAACTTCCTGGTGCAAGTGTTGGAGAGACCGATAAGGTCTGTCTTCTTTTTGACCTGCTTCTCACAAACAGGGAAGAATTGGTCGGGGGTGTAGTAGTGGATGGAAACTTGGGCAGCAGTGACCAAAAGATGATGGAGTGGAGGATCCTGACAAAAGAAAGAAAGGAGAATAGGAGAGTATGGACCCTGGATTTCAGAAAGGTAGGTTTTGACTGCCTCGGGGAACTGATGGGCAGGACCCCCTGGGAGGTCAGTGTGAGTGGGAGAGGAGTCCAGGAGAGCTGGCTGTACTTCAAAGAAGCCTTACTGAGAGTGCAGTAACAAAACATCCCAATATGCAGAAAGACTAGCAAGTATGACTGAAGACCAGCTTGGCTTACCAGGGAACTTTTCAGTAAACTAAATCACAAAAAGCTTATAAAAAATGGAAACTTGAACAAATAACTAGGGAAGAATAGAAGAGCATTACTCGGGCATGCAGGGATGAAGTCAGGAAGGCCAAAGCGCAGTTGGAGTTGCAGCTAGCAAGAGATGTCAGTACCAAAAAGAAGGTCAGGGAAAGTATGGGTCTCTTACTGAACGGGGGCAACAGTCTTGTGACAGTATGCAGAAAAACCTGAAGCTCTGAATTACTTTTTTTGCCTCAGTCATTACAGGTAAGCTCAGCTCCCATACTACTGCACTGGGCAGCACAGTTTGGGGAGGAGGTAAGCAGATCTCTGTGGTGAAAGAACAGGTTAGGGACTACTTAGAAAAGTTGGATGTGTACAAGTTCACAAGGCCAAATGGGATGCACCTGAGGGTGGTGAGGGAGTTGACTGATGTGCTTGCAGAGCCGTTAGTCATCATCTTTGAAAACTCATGGTGATCAGGAGAAGTCCCAGATGATTGAAAAAGGGCAAACATAGTGTCCATATTTAAGAAAGGAAAGAAGGAGGATCCAGGGAACTACAGACTAGTCAGCCTCACCTCAGTCCCTGGAAAAATTTCATAGATTTCATTGACGTTAGGACTGGAAGGGACCTCCAGAAGATCATCGAGTCCAGCCCCCTGCCCAAGGGGCAGGAAGTCAGCTGGGGTCATAGGATCCCAGCAAGATAAGCATCCAAATTTCTCTTGAAGGCATTTAATGTGGGTGCTTGAACCACCTCCAATGGCAGGCTATTCCAGACCTTGGGGGCTCAGACAGTAAAGAAATTCTTCCTTATGTCCAGCCTGAAACAGTCTTGCAGTAGGTTTATAACCATTTGACCTTGTCATCCCTTGAGGCACTCTGGTGAACAAATGTTCCCCCAGATCCTGGTGAACATCCCTGATAAACTTATAGGTGGCCAACAGATTTCCCCTGAGCCTGCACTTTTCCAGGCTAAAGAGCCCCATAGCTCTTAGCCTGTTGTCGTAAGGTCTGTTTTCCTGACCTCTGATCATGCACGTAGCTCTTCTCTGGATTCTCTCAAGTTTCTCCACAGCCTTTTTGAATTGTGGAGCCCAAAACTGGATGCAGTACTCCAGCTGTGGCCTCACCAAGGCCGAGTACAAGGGGAGAATGACGTCATGGGATTTACTTGAGAGGCATCTATGGATGCAAGCCAGCGTTTTGCTCGCTTTACTCGCTGCATCACATTGAAGGCTCATGTTCATCTTGTGGTCAATGATGACCCTCAAATCCCTTTCATCTGTAGTGCTAGCCAGCGTAACACTGCCGAGTCTATAAGGATGCTGCAGGTTTTTCCTCCCAGGGTGGAGAACCTCGCATTTTTCGGCATTAAACACCATCAGGTTCTCATCCGCCCATTTCCTGAGCCTGTCGACATCTGCCCGGATCACCCTCCTCTCCTCAGGTGTGGATAATTTACCCGAGAGTTTGGTGTCGTCAGCGAACTTGGCCAGTCGGCTTCTGACTCCAATGCCCACATCATTAATGAAGATGTTGAACAATATAGGTCCAAGGACAGAGCCTTGGGGGACCCCACTGGTCACAGGGCACCATGATGATTGACTTCCCTTAACTACCATCCTCTGGGTCTGATCACAGAGCTAATTCCCCAGCCAGTGGATCGTGGTGGACCCGAGGCTGCAGTTGGCCAGTTTTGCCAAGAGGTGATCATGGGATATCAGATTGAAGGCTTTTTTTGAAGTCAAGATGTACGACATCAATCTTTTTCCCCTTGTCCAGGTGATAGGTCACCTGGTTGTAAAAGGAAATGAGATTGGTCAAGCAAGACGTACCCACAACAAACCCATGCTGGGTATCCCTCAGGATATTGCCATCTGTTAAGGATGGCCTCTTTGATCTTTTCCAAGACCTTCCCCAGGATAGAGGTCAGGCTGATGGGCCTGTAGTTTGCTGGATCCATTTTCCTCCCTTTCTTGAAGATGGGCACCACATTGGCCTTCTTCCAGTCTTAGGGCACTTCACCAGAGCGCCAGGAGTGCTCGAAGATCCATGCCAGGGGCTGGGCTATGATGCTTGCCAGCTCTCCTTGAGTACCCTGGGGTGTAGATTTTCAGGGCCGGCTGACTTGCGGATGTCCAGCTTCTCAAGGTATTCCTTCATGAGGTCAATATTGATGGAGGGCAGGGAATCTCCCTCACCCGGGCATCCCTGTCCCGTAGTGGGAATGTGCGTCCCATGGGACTGATGAAAGACCAATGCAAAGTACCCTTTAATAGGTTGGCTTTTTCCTGGTTTCAGTTGTCAGTTGTCCCGTCTGGTTTAGCAGGGGTCCAATGTTGCCCTTGCTTTTCCTCCGGCTCCCCACAGATCTGAAAAAAGGACTTTTTTATTGACCTTGACAATTTATGGAGCAGATCCTCAAGGAATCCATTTCTAAACACTTGAAGGAGAAAAAGTTGATTAGGAGCAGTCAGCATGGATGCACCAAGGATGAGTCATGCCTGAGCAACCTGATTGCCTTCTATGATGAGCTGATTGACTCTGTGGATGTGGGGAGACCAGTGGATGTGGTGTACCTTGATTTTAGCAAGACTTTTGATACAGTCTCCCACAACATTCTTGCAGGCAAGGTAAGGAAATATGGGCTGGATAAATGGATTATAAGGTGGATAGAAAACTGAGTAGAGTATCAGATGCAGAGAGTAGTAATCAATGGCACAATATCTAGTTGGCAGCAAATATCAAGTGGAGTGCCCCAGGGCTCAATCCTGGGGCTAATTTTCATAGACATTTGGGCTGGAAGGGACCCCAGAAGATCGAGTCCAGCGCCCTGCCCCAGGGGCAGGAAGTCAGCAGGGATCATAGGATCCCAGCAAGATAAGCATCCAAATGTGTCTTGAACCACCTCTGGCGGCAGTCTATTCTAAACCTTGAGGGTTGAACAGTGAAGAAGTTCTTTCTTATGTCCAGCCTGAATCGGTCATAGTGGAGTTTGTGACCGTTTGATCTTGTCATCCCTTGGGGGGCTCTGGTGAACAGATGTTCCCCCAGATCCTGATGAGCACCCCTAATAAACTTATAGGTGGCCACCAGATCACCCCTGAGCCTGCGCTTTTCCAGACTGAATAGCCCCATGGCTCTCAGCCTCTCATCATAAGGTCTGTTTTCCTGACCTCTGATCATGCACGTGGCTCTCCTCTGCACCCTCTCAAGCTTCTCCACATCCTTTTTGAATTGTGGAGCCCAAAACTGGATGCACTACTCCAGCTGCAGCCTCACCAAGGCCGAGTACAGTGGGAGAATGACGTCCCGGGATTTGCTTGAGAAGCATCTATGGATGCAAGCCAGTGTTTTGCTCGCTTTACCAGCCGCAGCATCACACTGACGGCTCGTGTTCAATGTCTTCATCAATGACCTTGAAGATGGCATAGTGTGCACCCTCAGCAGAGGGCTCCCAGGACTCAGCTGTGCCCAGCACGTGGTCCCCACATGCCGCGCCGGGACCTG